CCTCGGCCTCCCAAAGTGCTGGGATTACAGGCTTGAGCCACCGCGCCCGGCCGGTCTTGATCTCTTGACCTCGTGATCCACCCGCCTCGGCCTCCCAAAGTGCTGGGATTACAGGCGTGAGCCACCGCGACCGGCCCGCAATTTGCCTTTTAATGGTACTTAATTTTTTTTTTTTTTTTTAACCAGAATTGGTTCCAAAGATAACAGTTGAGTAGAATGATTTAAAAAAAAAAAAATCAGGAAAGTAATAATGTATTCATTACCCTTGTGTTATTTGGTTCAAATTATTTTTAAACCGGTATTTGCCTAACATAACGTCTGTAGTTTTTAACCTAAGTCCACTACCACAACAGGAAACATATATGCTACATTAATGGGCATATTTAGTTTGCAATAAAGATACAATAAAATTTAGTTTGGAAGAATCAACTAGATCAAAAACATAATTTCGGAACCTGCAGAGTCCTAGCCACAGCTGCAACGTTTTAATTTCTAAAACATTTGTATGTTCAAGGGTAAAAGTAATTTTGCAAATCTTGATACTTTTAGTTCCTGCTTTTTTAGGATTACATACCCACTTTACAAGTAGGAAAACAGAAACAATTACGTCCTTCTAATTCCTATGCACATCATCCAGTCCATCCGCTCAGACCATTCCTGCTTGCCCTGTTAATTTTTTTTTTTTTTTTTTTTTTTTTTGAGACAGAGTTTTGCTCTTGTAGCCCAGGCTGGAGTGCAGTGGTGTAACTTGGCTCACTGCAACCTCTGCCCTCCAGGTTCAAGTGATTCTCCTGCCTCAGCCTCCCAAGTAGCTAGAATTATAGGCGCCTGCCACCATGCCCAGCTAATTTTTGCATATATAGGAGAGACAGGGTCTCACCATGTTGGCCAGGCTGGTCTTGAACTCCTGACCTCAGGTGATCTGCCCAACTCAGCGTCCCAAAATGCTGGGATTACAGGCCTGACACTGTGCCTGGCCAATCTGTCCAATCTTATAGACAAAATTATTTTAGCAAAACAAAATAATTTCTAAAAGTCAGTTTTCACTAACCTCATTTTTCTGAGGTGCTAAGAAACACCAAAAGGTTTTATTAGGTCTTTGAACTGTGATGTTTTAAAATATCCTCACTTGCCTGTATAGGTGGTCACCCATCAATTCATATAATTTTTTTTTTTTTTGAGACGGAGTTTCGCTCGTTACCCAGGCTGGAGTGCAATGGCGCGATCTCGGCTCACCGCAACCTCCACCTCCTGGGTTCAGGCAATTCTCCTGCCTCAGCCTCCCGAGCAGCTGGGACTACAGGCACGCGCCACCACGCCCAGCTAATTTTTGTATTTTTAGTAGAGACGGGGTTTCACCATGTTGACCAGGATGGTCTCGATCTCTTGACCTCGTGATCCACCCGCCTCAGCCTCCCAAAGTGCTGGGATTACAGGCTTGAGCCACCGCGCCCGGCCCCCAATTCATGTAATTTTTGGTTGACATCGCATATATACTTCAAAGTGGCCATAATTTAAGAAAAACATGACATTTTTACAAAGGCTCTCTACTTGTCTGCTTCTCTCCAGTTTGTGGACTATCAGCCCGTACGACAGGAGGGCGTATATATGGAGGGCAAAAGGCAAAACCTGGTGATTTTCCTTGGCAAGTCCTGGTATTAGGTGGAACCACAGCAGCAGGTGCACTTTTATATGACAACTGGGTCTTAACAGCTGCTCATGTCGTCTATGAGCAAAAACATGATGCAAACTCCCTGGACATTCGACTGGGCGCCCTCAAGAGACTATCACCTCATTATACACAAGCCTGGGCTGAAGCTGTTTTTATACACGAAGGTTATACTCATGATGCCGGCTTTGACAATGACATAGCACTGATTAAACTGAGTAACAAAGTTGTAATGAATAGCAACATCACGCCTATTTGTCTGCCAAAAGATGAATCCTTTATGAGGACAAATGACATTGGAACTGCATCTGGATGGGGATTAACCCAAAGGGGTTTTCTTGCTAGAAATCTAATGTATGTTGACATACCAATTGTTGACCATCAAAAATGTAGTGCTGCATATGCAAAGCTGCCCTATCCAGGGGCAAGTGTAACTGATAACATGCTCTGTGCTGGCTTAGAAAGTGGGGGCAAGGATAGCTGCAGAGGTGACAGCGGAGGGGCACTGGTCTTTCTAGATAATGAAACACAGAGGTGGTTTGTGGGAGGAATAGTGTCCTGGGGCTCCATGAATTGTGGGGAGGCAGGTCAGTATGGAGTCTACACAAAAGTCATTAACTATGTTCCCTGGATCAAGAACATAATAAATAATTTTTAACTTGCATGTCTGCAGTCAGTCAAGGATTCCTCATTTTTAGAAATGCCCGTGAAGACCCTGGCAGCCACGTAACCCAAGCATTTATCGTTACTGTGAAAATGGCAGCTGGTGCTCCACCCAAAGGACAGACTCCAGGTGAGACTGCTGTCATTTCTCCACTCCACAGTTTTAATTCCAACCTTACCCATCTGACTCAAGGCGGCATAAGCCACAAGAGTGATATTCACCTTTGTCAATCCAATGTAATGTCACTGCTCAAATTACATTTAATTACTTTAAAAGGCCAGTATCTTCTCATACTAGCTGTTGGCATTTCTGTAAACTGCCTGGCCATGCTCTTTGACTGTTTTTAAACTTGTTCTTATTGATCTCTGTAAGTGCTTTATATGTTGTAGCAGTACTGATTCAGGAATAACCTCGAATCCCTTTTTTGGGCAGGCAGGCTGGAAACACTGATACTTCAGCCCAGGTATTGACTCAAATTTCCATGTTAAAAACCAATACCACAAAATCATGGGATACAATTATTCACTTATCAAATCGTCAGACAAAAGGAATGTGAATAGTAGTACTATTTCACATTGTGAAAGACAACATCAACTTCCCAAAGAGCCCTGAAAAGGCATGCATCATCTTTGACCTGGCAATTCCAATGTTACGAATTTAATTTAGCTGGAAGGATATTCCCAGCAATTGGAAATAACCTGAACAATGTTCAAATTCAGAAGATTGAATCAAAACTCGGCCATTTCCACAAGATGAAAAATGGCATTATAAATTAGTGATGTTATAAACTGTGATCATTTGTTTTTCCTCTTTACAATGAACACAAAATATTTGGGCACAGTGATGCCTAACAAGAGCACAGATCACACAATAGTTGAGTCAAGTACAGAACCCTTACACAGTTAGGAGCTACTTTGCTCCTAACAACAAAATCTTTACTAGTACACATTCTCTCTTGAATTACGTAGTTAACATCCTACTTTTTCCTACAAAGGACAAAACTTAAGTGCTGATTTAACCTTAAAAATCTCGTTTGATTTTAGCTGGGTATTCCTTCCTAAAAGGTTTTAATAGCTAGCACTTAAGTTTTTCAGTCTAGCTAACAGTTAACATTCCATGTAAAAGTTTACTGTGAATCCTGGCCTAATTACTCTTGCGCATATAAAGTACAACTACTTGAGACTCAGTTTTTATTTTTTTCTTTAGAGGCTCAATTTTTAAAGGTAACTTTCCAGCATCTATACGTCACATATAAAAAGAAATCATGTTTTTCAGTAAGACTCCAGACACTAAACTGTGGTGTCAATAAAAATTTTTATTTAACTGGTTCAAAAAATTTTTAGAATGAATGCATTTAGATGACCAAATAGATTTTTAAAAACAAATCTTTGCTAAATAGTTTAAGTACTTCTAAACTTCAAAATCTTTTTAGGGTAAAATAAATACCCGTTATCTATGCAGTACCATAAACATGTTAATAAAAGGCTACTCAACATTGAAAGCCTTCTATGACCAGTAACTAAAATTTACACAAGTGTAAATAAAGGATTCAAACCATGCCGTTGACACGTTAACTTACCCCTGGGCTCCTTGAAGGCTTGTCAGTTTAGTCTTTGGAGGTCCCCGAGTACCATTTTAAGTGTTACCATGTTACTGCTGCTGAGTAATAGTGCAAGTGCTAAAATGCAAAATTCAGATGGTACAGGGTTTGGAAATCATGCAGATTTAGATTCAGAAAAAAAAATTTAAACAACTCAAGATCCCTTTACAGAGGAAATCGAATAATGAAACAATGTGGCGATTACAAGTCTAAAGGATGACTTCATTTATAAATGTTTAAAACATGTAACTTGCAAAATGACAAACCTATTTATCATAATCTAATTAGGTAAGGGCATTAAGTAAACTACAAACACAAAAAATGTCACATTCTTCCAACTAGAAAAAGAGCTCTCTCACATAGTTACATAAAAAGTACAACAATCAATGTTATTGCTTTTACATAATTAACAATGCATTGTGAGAGACTACGTTTTGTAAGCGATTTTATTCAACTTTATTCAACATTACCACATTACCCCATCTCCTGGAGGACAAAGCCCATTTGCTTCCAGACAGACAACCCACCCTAATTCTTAAAGCTATCAAGCTTCTTAATGGATTCCAGGCACAAGGTAATTTGTGGTTTCTTCTACTTTATCCCTATTGCAATTAATTCCACTTTTCAAATCCCAGACCAGGAAGGTGCTGATATTCCCTTTTCAATTGATATGCTTTGCTACAAAGCATTTGAAAATAATCAACATTTTGCCCACTCCCCCAGATAAGAATCTTTTTAGACGGCATGATTTCCCAGGAGATTTATACAGGCCATGTAAATAATATCACCCAAATGTGCAGAGGCACTAAGAAAAAGCCAGAGGGTACTGCTTACCATTTTAGGTGCGGTCACCCAGACTTATTAAAAACTAGATTTCAAAAGAAAAAACAAAAAACAAAAAACAAAAAACTTTTCACTTTGGCCAATGCAAGAACAAATACCAATTAAGTCTGGGTATCAGGTGTCAATGCATGACAGGTGATGAATCCATTTGACTTGAGACAACTTTTCAAATAAGTTTATTTGAAGCAAAATAAACTATTGCCAAGAAACTTTATGAAAGTTCCATCTCAAAAGGGTCAAAAAAGGGGAATTAACTGCTATGAATTCTTTGCATTCAGGGCTGCAAAACAAAGACACATATTATTTAAATCAGTTTTATTTAAGAATTTCCAACATTGACAACTCTTATAAAAAGCATCCAAGCACAGGACACAGAACTGCAGCAAACAGCATTCTTATGGGTAGCTAACAGACATTAGAACTTCCACCCTTCTTTGAGACACCTGAGCTCGCTGGTGAACTCTGCTTCCAAGTACTCCTGCAAAGCACACCACAAGCTCAGTCCATGTTCTCAACCCATCAGCTTCAGTTCACATGACCACACTTACATATCAGTAACAGAAGAGAACACACACCATACAGCATTCACAGCAGTTGACAAAGGGTAGGGGGAGTACAAGTATCGTTTCACTTAACACATTCAACTAATGTGGGTTATCTAAGAACAAAAACTCACTTAAAGTCTTCCAACAGATGTGGATGTCCTTTGAATGCAAAAAACATTCGTACATTATTTGCTATCATTGCTCTCTGCACACTCTCTCACCAAAGCCACAGGATTGAGAGACACATCTCGCCAAGTTAAAAAATATCCATTATGCACCACCAAGTCTCTGCACGCGCTCTCTCCTTTTCTCGCTCATACTAGCCTTTCATGCCTCGGCACCACCATCAATCCCACACAAGGTTTCAAAAGTTCAAACAGCCTTCTGGTTCCATATCACAGCCTTGCGTTCATAGCGTTGATACGACTCCATGAAATAAAGAGTAGCGGATAAAAATGGGACACCCACCGTCAGAGACGCGGCCTGTGATGCGTGATGACGAACTCTTGAATGAGAAAGCATGTAGACAGAAGTATTCCTATGGCAGAATATTTACAGCACTACTTTCAATGAAGTGCTTCTTCCATAAACATTTGAAATGAGATGAACTGCAGAGATTAAATGAAGGCTTCATAGTGTACTTTTGCACATGAGGGGAGACAAGTGTTAAAAAAACAAAGCAAAAGAACCAAACACTGTGACACCATGAGCTCCCAAAAGGAGACTTTCTTAAGGAAGAAAATCCATATGGTGGGGTTCAAATTAAAACAAGGAGTAACGAATGTAGTTCTAATCAATGGTTTCCATTTTGAACATGCAAAGAATTCACTTGACAAGTCCAGGGATAAAATATTACAGGAGAAACCTTTTGATATCAATTGTAGTGTGTTGGTTTACCAATCAGGCAAACAGCAGTTCACTTTCAACCACTCAATATTTCAACCTTTCATGTAACAAAACTTAGAAAATTCCTTTAGCTCTTCCTTTTTCTAAAGAAAAATGTCAAAAATACTGCTGAATATACTCCACACTGAACAAACCAATTTTGAAAATTCTTAGTACATATGTATTTTACAATATACTTACCATGAGTTTAGAAAAATCTGAATTCCCACCATTCTATACCAACCAACCACAAACTGTCTACATTCCCCAGCCAGAAGACTTAGAATCCATGCTCGAGCCAAAGCCTCCATTAAAACCACTGCCCGACCCTGCATTTGATGCTGATCCCCAACCAATTGCTGCACCAGAATTAGAACCACTATAAGAGTTATTTCCAGAACCGAAGGCCTGGTTTGGCTCCCTCTGCATGTTGCCTTGGCTTTGGTTATTACCCGATGGGCCTGACTGGTTCTGCTGGCTGGCTAACATGCCCATCATACCCCAACTGCTCTGTAGCGCCGCCTGGGCTGCAGCCATCATGGCTGGATTAATGCTGAATGCGCCAAAGTTCATCCCACCACCCATATTACTACCTTGATTGTTTCCCAAACCAGCTCCACCCCCTCTACTATTACCAAATCCACCCTGATTCCCAAAGCCACCTGGATTACCACCAAATCTTCCACTTCTTTCTAACTGTCTATTGCTATTGTGCTTAGGTTCGGCATTGGATATATGAACGCTGATTCCTTTAATGATCAAGTCCTCTCCACAAAGAGATTGCGCAATCTACAAGAAATAAGGGATGTAAACAAAGATTAAACCATTGATTTATACAACAAAGTAGCAACAAAACTTAGATTACAAGCATTAATTAACTAAAGCCAGAGGAAAAATAAGCAATGAATGCTCATTTTATTTAAAATCCCAGTACAGCTTTAGTTTTAGTAACAGCAGCAGTGATATTTCAGTCTATTTTCAAAAGACATAGGCTGGGCATGGTGGCTCATGCCTGTAATCCTAGTGCTTTGGGAGGCCAAGGTGCGAGGACTGTGTGAAGCCAAGAGTTTAAGACTAGTTTGACAGCCTGAGCAACACAGTGAGACCCCACCTCTAAAAACAAAAACAAAACAAAAACCCTGCGAAAAAACCACATTAGCTGGGCATGGTGGCATGCATCTGTCCTAGCTACTTGGGAGGTTGAAGTTGGAGGATCCTCCTCCTGGAGGCTGAGCCCAGGAGTTCTAGGGTGCAGTGAGTTCTGATTACACCACAGCATTCCACCAGCCTGGGCAACAGAGTGAGACCCTATCTCAAAAAAAAAAAAAGGGGGTGGTGGTGGCTCTCGCCTGTAATCCCAGCACTTTGGGAGGCCAAGGCAGGTGGATCACCTGAGATTAGGAGTTCAAGACCAGCCAGATCAAAATGGTGAAACTCCATCTCTACTAAAAATACAAAATTAGCTGGGTGTGGTGGTACATGCCTGTAATCCCAGCTACTTGTGAGGGTGAGGCAGGAAAATCACTTGAACCCAGGAGGTGGAGGTTACAGTGAGCCGAGATCGCACCACTGTGCTCTAGCCTGGGTAACAAGAGCAAAACTGTCTCAAAAAAAAAAAAAAAATATTTAACATTCCCAAATGCCATATACTGAAAATTATTTAAAGGTTGATTTACTTGTAGAAATTTCTTAAAAATGTTGTATTTCTAAGCCACATGCGGTGGCTCACGCCTGTAATCCCAACACTTTGGGAAGCTGAGGTGGGCGGATCACCTGAGGTCAGGAGTTCAAGACCAGCCTGACCAATGTGGTGAAACCCCATCGTTAAAAAAAAAAAAAAAAATAAAAAAAAAAAAAAAAATTAAATAATAAGAAAAAAAAGAAAAATGTATTTGTAACTAAGCGTGGTGGCTCACATCTGTAATGCCAGCACTTTGGGAGGCCAAGGAGGGTGGATCACTATGTCAGGAGTTCAAAGACCAGCCTGACCAATATGGTGAAACCCCATCTCTACTAAAATTACAAAAATTAGCCAGGCATGGTGATGTATGTCTATAGTCCCAGCTACTCAGGAGGCTGAGGCAGGAGAATTGCTTGAACCCGGGAGGCGGAGGCGGCAGTAAGACAAGATCTTGCCACTGCACTCCAGCCTGGGTGACAGAGCAAGACTCCATCTCAAAAAACAAAAAAGTTGGGGGGGGGGAGGGAAGGGTGACATCTAGGCCCACACACTCTACATCTTACAAGGTCAGAAAACTTAGCTAAGAACAGCAATTAGCTGGATGGGAAATGTTCAAGAGAAATTACCTAATTACCTGGCCCATATTGTTAAGGAGAAAAATACCTGATCATCTGCAAATGTAACAAAGGCAAAGGCCCTGAACGGCTTGGGGATGAAGACATCCATCACCTCCCCGTACTGGGAGAAGAACTGCCGCAGCTCATCCTCAGTCATGTCCTCTGTACAGCGCCCCACAAACACTTTTCTGCTTCTCAAAGGCTCATCTGCACTTTGCTAGTCAAATCAAAAGGAAGGAAAAAACTCAAATATAAACAATGAAAAAAGCATTAAGGTAAGGGATATAACAAAATCTTTCTGCCTTGGATAGTAGTGAATTATTAAAAAGGAGACATACTCTTAATTTTTTGCATCAACTATTCCTTTTTCTTGTAAGGCTTCAATAAAGAGTAACATTTTAAGTTACAAACGTACACGGTCATGCATCACATAATGATGGAAATATGTTCTGAGAAATGCAACATGAGTCATCACACCATTTCGTCACTGTGGCCAGGTGTGGTGGCTCATACCTGTAATCCCAGCACTTTGAGAGACTGAGGTGGGCAGATCACCTGAGGTCAGGTGTTCAA